ATCCATCCATCCATCCATCGTCCCTCACTGGTGCTAGGCAAGCAACTGAACTGGATTCCCAGTTCGAGAATAGCTTACTGAGTGCAGTGCAAGGGGCAAGGGAGCCACAAGTTAGGTGATACCAAGAGTGTAGCCTATATCTAGCTTTACAGGGACTAAATCTGAATGGCAGCAGTGCCTGTCCTTGACACTCAGTAGGGAACCTGAGTTTCTTTGTGTTGAAGGCCTTAACTCCTTCTTTACAGGAGAAGACTCAACATCAGAGCACCTGATATATCAGGACAGCCAAGGCTGTCGAAAATGATGTGTATATATGTAGAGCTCCAGCTCTTCCCGCCCCCACAACATACCTGCTTCATTTTGGCTAACTCCCGCCTTGTGTGCTCATCATTCCGAAGATCCTTCTTGTTCCCAACTAGGATGATGGGCACATTTGGACAGAAATGCTTAACTTCTGGAGTCCATTTTTCTGGGATGTTTTCTAAAGAAAAAAATGCACAGAATTTGAGGATACATTCTAATCCTACTTTGAAGAACTCTAAGAACTTTAATTAAACTGCAGGGTATTTCCTTTTCCACTGTTATTTCAAAAGCATATTGGGGACAGATACAATAGCTCAGCAGATAAAGGTGCTTGAGTCTGAGCACTGAACCCATGTGGTAGAGGAGAACTGTCTCTTGCTTGGTGTCTTCTGACCTTCATGTGTACTATGGCATGTGCACACACTCATACCGTTAAAAAAAAAAAAATTGGGGGCCTTATAAAATGAAAAAAAAAAAAAAAAAAAAAAAAAAAAGCACTAATTTCAAAATCATAGAAAAATGAACAATCAGTTGGGCGGTGGTAGAGTACACCTCTAGTCCCAGCACTTGGGAGGCAGAGGCAGGCAGATCTCTGGGTTTGAGGCCAACCTGGTCTACAGAGAAGTTCTAGGACAGCCAGGGTTACAGAGAGACCCTGTCTCACAAAACTTAAATCTAACTTCCTAACTTCCATTCTACAAGCACTGAAGGGCAACAGCCTCTCCGAGTTCCATGAAAAGTTTTTTTTTTTCCCATGAAAAGTTTTGATGAGCTTATCAAAGGTGGGACCTCAAATAAGAGATCTGGACTCTGTTCCACAGAGAGAAAGCTCACCACAGGCCATGCCTGTCACTGGTGGTAGAAAGGTCACAGCTCCTCAAGGTCATATTCTCTATCTTGCTCTTGGTTCTACAGCATAAACTCTTGCCCAAAGTTTCTAAAACCTCTTGATTTGTGTAAAAGAGGCAGCTTCAAAATCTAGGCTTGTCTCAGACTACAGATCCTCCTGACTCTTGAGACTTCCCAAGAGCTAGCTAGGATCAGGAGCATGCCCACTACAGCTCACTGGTATGCTTTTGGAGGTGGGGGTCTTAATCCTCAATTCAGGTTAGACTGAACTTAAAAGTGTCTACAAAAAGTTCCAGTCCTGTGCTACTAATACCTGGCTCCATGTTACTCTCTTTTTATTAGCTTAAAAGAATTTTGCAATACAGCATTGTAATAAAGGTCAATAACTTGCATGTAGCACAGACTGGACTTATACTCATGGAGATCCTCCTGCCTCAGCCTCCTGAATGTTCAGATTACATGCATAGGCCATACCAGCTTACATGCTACTTTTTGTTTTTTGTTTTTTTTGGTTTTTCAAGATAGGGTTTCTCTGTATAGCCCGGGCTGTCCTGGAACTCACTCTGTAGACCAGGCTGGCCTCGAACTCAGAAATCCGCCTGCCTCTGCCTCCCAAGTGCTGGGATTAAAAGGCGTGCTCCACCAACCGCCCGAAAATCTTTCTTTTTATATTTATTTTATGTACGTGAGTACACTGTCACTCTCTTCAGACACACCAGTAGAGGGCATCAGATCCCATTACAGATGGTTGTGAGCCACATGTGGTTGCTGGGAACTGAACTCAGGACCTCTGAAAGGGCAGTGAGTGCTCTTATGCACTGAGCCATCCATCCAACCCCTACATGCTACTTTTGTTTTGCATTTTGAAACAAGGTCTTACTATGTAGCTCTGGCTTGCCTGGAACTCAACTATGTAGCAATCAAATTGGCCTCAAACTCAACAGAGATCCAGCTGCTTCTGCCTTCCATAAACAAGGACTAAGGAGTGAGCCATCACTCTCAGCTTTTTGTTGTTGAGAGTCTTGTTACATAGTTAAGCCGGCCTGGCTTATTACGTAGCCAGAGTGGCATTCTACACCACCAACAACCTTCTTGCCTCTGCTTTTCCCCATGCTGGGGTTATAAATGTGCATCACCATGCCCAGTTAAAAGTTTTTACAGTTTTACCAAAACCCCAACAAAATCAACGGCCCTCATATTTTGGTGGATGCTATGTTCGTAGGTCAGTTGTCGACATTAGGTATCATCCTCAATGACTATGTTTACCATAGCTTCTCACTGAACTGGAGTTCACAGATTGGGCTGGTGGTTAAGCTTGAAGATCTGCCTGTCTCCATCTTCCCAGCTGGGATTACAGGTGCATGCCTTTAACACAGGAGCCGGGATGCAAACTCAGGTCCTCATGTTTGTATACCAAGGAGTTTACTCTCTCTTAAGTCTTTCTATGGATGCCTGAGATGAGTAGATATGCTCTGCAAAACACTTGCTTGACATTTACAAGGTCCCAAGTTCAATTCTTAGCATCATAAAATAACAAGTTTTCTAACCCTAGGCACTCTCAACAATGTATATTCCAGACCAACTATTAGTGAGACAGCAGAGGTTCCACAAAGCAGAGGTCAGTCAGCAATGAGATTGAAATATGTACTAAAATTCCAACATTTCAAGACAAAAATGTAGTTCTGTGGTAGAACCCTGTGCCTAGAGCTTGTAAGAATCTGGGTTCAAAACCAACAGATGGTTTTGGTTTCTTTCTTTGTGAAACAGTCTCATGGTTACGAATGATGGTGATCTTGAGCCACTTGGTCTTCCTGCTTCCACCTCCAACTCAGGACCTTAATGTAAGCTAGGCAAGTAAGTCCTCTTCCATCTTAGGTCCGTGGTTTGCTTTTTAAACTAGCTTTAATTTAAAAAATATCACAGTGTAATCATCTGGGTGTAATAGGGCTACTACTCAACAATTTCTTTTTTTGTTGTTGTTGTTGTTTTTCGAGACAGGGTTTCTCTGAGTAGCTCTGGCTGTCCTGGAACTCACTCTGTAGACCAGGCTGGCCTCGAACTCAGAAATCTGCCTGCCTCTGCCTCCCAAGTGCTGGGGTTAAAAGGCATGCGCCACCACTGCCCAGCAATAATTTCTTATATAAAGTAAAATATTAGGTCTTAACAGGTTCTTGGCTATTCACAAAGTTATTAGTGCAGTGAATAATCTTTCATATCTTTTCCTCTGTATTCCAATATTCAATCTTGGCTGCCAATTTTTCTTGTATCTGTAATGGAAACCTTAGAAGCAGACAGTTAACTGCTTCAGGTCTGACACACAGATGCACAAAATTCTTATGTGAGGCCCAACAGGTTATGTAACACACAAACTCAAGGCCAGAGTATTAAACACTCAATCAGATTAAAAAAAGTGAAGTCCACCTTTGTAATGATGTTAGCTTTTCTTTTCTTTTTAGTTTTTTTTTGAGAAAGGTTCTTACCATGTAGTTCTGGCTAGCCCATTACTGTATAGATGAGGCTGGCCTCAAACAATTCTTCTGCCTCTGTCTCCCAAATGCTGGGATTACTGTTATGCCCGGCCCCATACAGTTAACATTTACTTAATTTTTGTTTTTCAAGATAAGGTTTATCTGTGTAGCCTTGGCTGTCCTAGAACTAGCTCTGTAGACCAGGCTGTTCTCTAACTCAAAGAGATCCTCCTGCCTCTGCCTCCCGAGTGCTAAAATCACTGCCCAGATGGCAGAGCATGTTTTAAGCTCTAAGATTTAACTTTACTGGTGTGAAAACATCCTTTTAAAAAAACACAAAAAAAATCTATAACATTTACTCAGTCATTGATTAGTGTATACACATAATATGGGCACTCATGTGCTACAATACACCTGTGGAGGTTCAAGAACTTGCAAGAGTTACTTCTCCTCGATCATATAGGTCCAGGGGACCAAATTTACATCATCAGGCTTGATGAGAACACCTTTACCTGTTGAGCCACTTCACTGGCTCTCATCATGTGAGCATTTTAAAAAATACACAAGTCATGAGTGATGAGTGACCTAGAATGAAATGGAAGCCATAAGCCCATGTTCTAAACTCAGGCTCCAGAACTGAGTACCACGATTCCTTTCCTTCTCTGTTTTTCTTTCTTTCTTTTTTCCCCATGGCCTGGAGAGGCCTTTTATGTTTTACACTTCCCTTCATTTATGTTTCCATCTTGCTTCTTCATGGTCCACAATGCCAGGCTGTCAGTACAGTGAAACTAACCTGTCCGGACGGGAGCAGAGTGTTCTGCTATCTTTTCTAGGTCTCTGAGTTGCACATCAAATCCAGGGCTCTGTACTTATTCAATCTGCCTGTGAGGTTCACATCCATTTTCCCAGCTCTATGACCACCAGTGATCTCAAATTCACCAACGTGACCATGCTTCATCATCATAGCTAGAACTAAACAATGACTTTCAAGTCTGGCCTGATGAGGACCTAGAGCTTGCCTCTTTTCTCAGCTTGAAAGCAGCTGTGAAGACATTCATGTGCACCACTGGTGACAGTACAGAAAGATAGTGTAAAGACTATTTTTATTTTTCAAGACAGTGTTTCTTTGTGTAGCCCTGGCTGCCATGGAACTAGCTCTGTAGACCAGGCTGGCCTCTAACTCACAAGAGCCATCCACCTCTGCCTCCCAGTGCTTGGATTATAGGTGTGCACCACCACAGTCCAGCATGACTCATTTTCTGAAAGAATGTCAGAATAGCCATAGTTGAACCATTTCATCCCCAGAAAGGATCCAAGATATTAGATGTTTCCCATCTGAATATGACAAACAATCAGGGCTACTCACCTAAACTATCAGGGCTGTCAATGGAAAAACACATCAGTATAACATCAGTGTCTGGATAGGAGAGAGGCCTCAGGCGGTCATAATCTTCCTGTCCAGCTGTGTCCCATAAAGCCAACTCTACCTATGACAGGAAAAACAACCACAGAAGTACAATGTTAGTATTACCACCCATTTCCAAGAAAGGGTTACTCACTACATACAAACTGTAGACTATCCAAAATAGTATAAATAGCTATTCATTTTTATGAGAACCAAATCCAAATACAAGATGTTTAAAATTTTTATCAAAACAGCAAATTTATAAACAGCACTGGGCAGCGGTGGCCCATGCCTTTAATCCCAGCACTTGGGAGGCAGAGGCAGGTGGATTTCTGAGTTCCAGGCCAGCCTGGTCTACAGAGTTGAGTTCCAGGACAGCCAGGACTACACAGAGAAACCCTGTCTCGAAAACCAAAACCAAACCAAACAAACAAAAAGCCCCCCCAAAGAAAATCATTTAATGAAAGTGTTTATTAGATTAACATGCTATGAGGAAAAAAAGGACCCTGTCTCGAAAAACCAAAAAAAAAAAAAAAAAAGGTCACCCAAAAAAGAAAATCAAACTTTGAGTAACAGACTAAGGGACTTTTCTCCTTCAGTGGCTCCTGAATTGCTCTGAGGTAGACAGTACCCTTTTTCAGATCAAACTTCCTTATTTCAGAGATTTCTTCTTAAATGAAAGACTCTCCTATCTTTCCTGGGTAAGTTATGTTTAAGAATAACAGAACAGGAAAGATAACTATGGATTATTACTCAACGATTTTAGTAAACACGATATTTTTCTTTTTTAGACATGGTTGCAGGAAACCTAGGTTGTCCCCAAATTCAGGATGACTCTGTAGGCATGTGCCTCCCATGTCTAGCTTTTATGACATGCTAGAGGAGAATATAGGGCCTTGTGCATGCTAGGCAAAAAACTCCACCAACTGAGCTACATTTTCAGTCTTGTCAATAAATCCTATAGGCAAGATCCTGGGCTCAGAAAATATGTCAAAGAGGAAATGCTGTGGGCTCTCAAAACTCAGGAAATTATAGTTATAGATATGCTAATCTCAAACAAGAAGGCTATCATGGCAACAGTCAAAGGTCAAAAAGATCTCAATTTCCACCTATAGTTCTACATGTGACATCTGTAAAAATCAGTCTTCCTATCAGGTCCACAAAAACACTTGTATCTGAGCATCTAGGCAAAGACTGGGACTGATGTGGCAATACACTGCAATGGTAGGTCACCTTCAAAGAATACATTGGTTCCCAATGTCCCCAGCCCAGCACTGTGCATTAAATTTAGGACCTCAAGCATGTTAGGCAAATGCTCTACCATTGAGGTACATAACCAGTCCAGTGTGTGTACAAATTTAAGTCTGAGACATTTCAAGAAGTTGTCAGACTGACCTTGAACTTGTGATCTCTTTGCTCCAACTTTCTAAGCTGCTATAACTACAGGCCCGTATCACCACACCAATATTCTTTCATTCTCTTAGGCAGGGTTTACTATGCAGCTTACTTTAGCCTCTGCAGTCCATCTGCCTCTGCCTGCCAAGTGCTGGGATTATGTGTGTATGCCACTGTGCCATGTGCTAGGCTGGAATATCTTTATATTTTATTTTACTGAAATAAGACCTCACATATTCCAGGCTGGTCTCAAACTTGTTATGTAGCTGAGAAGCTGAGAAGGACCTTAAATTTCTGATTTTCTTGTCTCTAGCTGCAATTACTAGGATTAGAAACCTGTGACACCACATCTGTTTCATGTGGTGCTGGAGACTGAATAGAGGTGTGCACTCTACCAACTGAGCTACACCCTGAGATCCATTAACTCACAGATTTATTTGTGTGTTTATTTAATACACAATCTTACTCTCTAGCTCAGAACTTAAAATATTTTTATATTATGTGTATTAATGTTCTGTCTGTCTGTCTGTCTGTCTGTCTGTCATCTATTTGCCTGGTGACCATAAGGTGATCATAGGTGATAAAAAGATGTTGGATCCCCTGGATAGGAATTTCATACAGATACTAGCTACAATGTAGAGGGCAGAAACTAAACTCAAGTCCTCTGAAAGAGAATGTCTTAACTGTAAGTCATCTCCTAACCCACCCCTGATCTGGAACTTATACTGTTGGATTTTAGCCATGAATCACCATGCCCAGCTTGTATTCACTACATTATTTGTATTCTTGGCCCAAAAAGGTGCTCTATAATGAGAAACTCTGGAATTCAGAGTAGCTAGTCTAACTCACTACACTACTCTGGGCACTTTTACACATACCTGTAATTATCCCATGTAGTAAGCTGTGGAAGGAAAATCCTGACTATATGAGACCCTGATTCAAAAATTAACAAGATGGAATCCAGAAAATCATGGGTTCAAAGCCAGCCTTGGTTCAGCAGTGATATAAAAATCAGCTTGAACTGTCTCAACATCCAAGTACCAATCGATCAATTAGTCCAAATCCCCCCAAAAAGATGGTAGAAGGAAAATGGATTTCTGTTTCAAACATTTTTGTCACACTGTATAAAAAAAAAAAAAAAACCCACACAGGCATCAGCTATTATGGAACTTGTACTCACCTGTTTTCCATCCACTTCAATATCTGCCACATAGTTTTCAAACACCGTGGGCACATAAACCTCTGGGAACTGGTCCTTGCTGAAGACTATGAGCAAGCACGTCTTACCACAAGCTCCATCACCAACAATCACCAGTTTCTTCCTAATGGCAGCCATCACTTAAACATTAAGAAAAAGGGTATTATTTAGAATGTGTAAGAATCTATAAGCAGCCTCAGATTATGACACATTTTAGTGGCCATAGGGGTAGAAAGGAGGCACTACTGGTGCTCCCAAATTAAAAATTCTAGAAGAGTGTTCTCTTTGGCACCCAAAAGCTAAATACCAAAAGCTATATTTAATGGTAAAGGATTAAAAACCATTAGGTAAGAATATTTAAGAAATTCACTGGAGAAAAATAAGAGCCTGGCATGGGGGCTTATGTCCATAATTTGGGCACTGGGCGGGGCTGAAGCAGTATGATTCTGCGAACAGGGACTGGGCTGCAGCGTGAGACTGTCTCAAATAAGAACAAAGCACACAGATGATCAGAGTAAATAATGTAATAATGTGGGATATGGGTTGAGCATGGTAGCAGGCAGATCTATGGAGTTTGAGGACAGTCTGGTGTGCACAGTAAGTTCTAGACCAGCCAGAGCTACACAGTGAGACACCAAAACCAAAAACCATAAATCAGTCAAGAGGTTGGCTTAGTAAAGGCTTGCTGCTTAGGCTAAAGGATCTGAATTCAGATCACCAGCACAGAGAATCTGTCAAAAGACAGCAATTGTACTTTTACACACTCACATTGAACACTCTGGAAAATGAGTAATTGTACAGCCTGGTGTGGTGGCTCATGCCTGTCATTCCAATACTTGGAAGGTTTAGGCAGAAGGCCTATACTTCCAGCAGAAGCTACCTAGTCCATTCCAGGCCAGCATAAGATATCGTATGTAGGTTATCTAAAAAAACATAAAAGCAAAAATAAGTGTAGCAAAGAGTAGTCAGGCATGATTTTAAACCTAGACTACATATGTGTTCCTGTTATGTTTTCAGGATAGAGTTTCTCTGTGTAGTTCTGGCTGTCCTGAAATTCAGAGATCTGCCTGCCTCTGCCTCCCAAGTGCTAGGATTAAAGACGTTCACCACCTGGCCTGGCCCATCTTTTTTTTTTAGGTAATAAAAGGAGAGAATACTAACTTAACAAACAGCAGACACCCCAAGACACTAATGATTACTTTAGTATGCCATACTTTAAATCTTTTTTTCCCTTAGCTTTTTTTTTTTTTTTTAAGATTTTTATTTATTGGGGGCTGGAAAGATGGCTCAGCGGTTAAGAGCACTGACTGCTCTTCCAGAGATCCTGAGTTCAAATCCCAGCAACCACATGGTGGCTCACAACCATCCGTAATGAGATTGGATGCCCTCTTCTGGTGTGTCTGAAGACAGCTACAGTGTACTCATCAATAAAATAAATAAATAAATATTTTAAAAAAAAAAGATTTTTATTTATTTATTATATATGAATACACTGTAGCTGTCTTCA